ACAAGTGTTTGCAAAAGTTTAGAAATATTAAGTCTTTCAGGTTAGCGCTTTTACAAGGAACAGCATTTGCATATATTCCATCGATTCAAGTATTTATGCAGTTACCTGAGTATAAATGCGTTTTTGCGGAGGATGATATTGTACCTGCTTCCATTTATCAGAATAAACTTGCCATTGTAAACATCTTAATTTAAATCTTTCATTTAATTCTTTTCAATTACTTTAAATTGCATGCTACCATATTTTAGGAAAAAAAATAATCCCTTTTATGCTAATTTATTTTCAGCAATGTGATGTTTTTATTACTGCTCACATTATCTTCTCTAACCTTATCTGTTTATTTTTGTCAGTAAATTTGATTTATCATATCTCTAAAACTAAACTTACAAGGTTCCAATTTTAGTAGTAGAGGCATTTTATTAACTTGGTGGATTTTGGAGAATCGTGGATAATCATTAATAATAGAAAACAAGTGATTATAACTAATTAAAAAAAAATTCAAACAAAAAGTAGATGAGTTAAGTAAGCTTATCAAATGCTATAAGTATTGAGAATGAAAAAAGGAATAGTTAAAAGTAGATGAAAGTATAAATGAAAATGTAGATTCAAGGATGCTTAATGGCATCATCATTAGTACCAATGATAATTGGTATGACCGGTGTAGTTGGCATATTAACGAAATTTATTGGGCCAATTACCGTATCACCGCTAATGTTACTTCTCGTACTCAGTGCAGTCGATCTGTGCGTTGAACGGATTTCGAAACATTGGGTTGCTGTAATGTAAGTTTTTTTTTTCTTTTTATAAACTCCAAAAAGTCTTTTGTTACAAATTCTAAAAGTTTTTAGGAAGGCGTAAATTTTCCTTCCAAATTTACTTCTTCTGAGAATAGGAGATGAAAAACAGTTGATTGTTAATTAAAAATATTTGAAAAGAATTAAATAAGGGTTAGAAACTTAATAAGGATTAATTAGCTTATTCAGTAGAGATGAAAAATGTTGATATTCACATTAAATTATCTTGCTGCTTCAATTATTAATCAAATTTAAATTTTAAATATTAGACAAGCAGCTGCTTTGTTTGCTACAATTTTATACTTGGCGGATTGGAAAGTGCCTACACTTAGCTATAAAAATAATCGTTTCGCAATTGTTCGGACTAATATTTTCGGCCAATACCCGGTAAATTTTAAAAATTGCAGAAGTTTCAAAAAAAAAGTTAGTATTAGATACTAAATATTTGAATATTATTCCCTATTTGCTAATGATTATAGAGGAATTTTATTGAATTGAGGATTAAAAATGAATTATGAATTCGTCAGCTGAAATGGTATTTCAGTATTTGATTGCTATATTGACATCCTGGGGCTTTTGCTTATTTCTTACACTAACAAATTTGACAGCACCCGATAGTGCTGCTCGATTGGATAAGAACGAAACACTTGCAGTAATCAAGCATGCCGAATGGTTACGTTTTCCACATATCGGTTAGATTTTTAAATATTTTGAATTTGGAATTGGCTTCTATACAATAATTATGAAACAACTGATCGCATCATAAAGCGCTGTCCCGAATAATCGTTTTTAACTTCTGTAAGATAAGTAAATAGTTCTCAGCGTTGAATTTCACAATTTTGAATTGAATTGGATCAAAAATAATTGAACTGTAATTCCAGTTCAGTAGTCTATTTGATGCATTATTTTATTTTATCTTTATTTCAAATTCAGATGTTCCGCAATTTCACACTGGACTTTTTTGTGCATTCGTTATTTCCGCGTTAACATCAGTCTTCGAATCAGTTGGTGATTATCATGCAGCGGCACGAGTATCCGAAGAACGTTCACCACCTTCGCATGCAATCAATCGTGGTATACTTGCTGAAGGTAATATCAAATTAATATTCTCGCTGAAGGTAGTATCTTTCTTCAAAAAAAAAAAAACTTTTTAAAATTTTAAAAAATTTTATTACATTTTTATAGCACTTTGATAACAATATCATAATTCAGGTTGTGGTTCTTTGCTAGCTGGATTACTTGGTCCAGGCGTTGGTATGACAACACACACGGAAAATATTGGTGTCATTGGTGTCACTCGAGTAAGTTTCATAGCAATTTCTGAATTCATAGCAAACTAAATTTATAATTTGTTTCTTTGAATTCCATAAATTTTTCAAATCTTTTTTCATTATTCTAAGCTTGAAGGTGTTTTGCATGGTTTATTTCTTACTGTTTCACTGATCATTATTTTTTTGTGTATCTGCATTTTAAATAAAAATTCGCTAATGACTGATTGATTAATTGTTTATCAAGATTATTATTTGTTCAACTCATTAGTCTTTCTTAATAATCTCAGGTAGCAAGTCGATTTACGATGGTGTTGGCTGGTGTGATACTCATTCTGTTGGGCATTTTTACGAAAATTGGTGCACTGTTGTCGACCATTCCGGATCCACTAGTTGGTGGAATTTTGGCTAGCAGTATGGCAATGGTTGGTGGTGTAGCAATAGCCAATATCCAACAGGTACAGTTTATCAAATTTAAATTTCCGAAGTCTTTTTTAACTTTTATCATATACGAATCAGGAAATCAGTGATTTTTTATGCTCACTAACACTCAGGTGATAAGATCAAACTTCGAGTCTGGCAAGATCTGAAACTAATATTAATATGTTAACACAGAAAGTGTTCCTTAACTTTGTGTCTTTTATTTTTAGAAATTACTCATACTATTTCAGGTCGATTTGAAATGTACACGAAACATAGCAGTATTAGGATTCGCAATAATGGTTGGGATGATTGTACCAAGCTATTTCCGAGAAAATCCTATCAGTACAGGTTCTTCCTTAAAGATTTTTTGATTATTATATTTTATTACTTTATTCCATTTTATAAAAATTAATCATTTTATCATTATTATTATATCTGTTCAGGGATTGCTGTGATCGACCAAGTGCTTACAGTTCTTCTTACTTTACCGATGTTTGTTGGAGCATTTGTCGCATGCGTTCTTGATAATACTGTCTCAGGTGATTTCAAATTATAATAATAGTAGTAGCATATAATCTTATTAGATATTCATTAAATATCTACTGATTTCATGCTCATTATTAGACAGCTTAGCAATTCATATTACATTAATTAGATGAAATTAGAATCCTGTTTTTCTGCACTGCTGAAACTATTTGGTCATTTGATAGAGTGCATTTGTTTAGACTGCATCAAAACATGGCCAAGTATAAAAATCTTGAAGAGAAAGAACTATGGTGGCAGTAATTAAATCATTTAAAAACATTTATTATTATTATTATTTGTTATCGAACCATCAAATAGAATAATGCATTACAGGTGCTACTCGTGAGCAGCGTGGTTTACGTTCACGTGGTTTAGCATATGAATTGGGCGAGAATAACTATGATGTATATGCATTTCCAGCTTTTATGATGAAATTGATTGAAAAAGCTTCTTATCTGAAAGTGTTGCCGTTTATACCGAAAGAAAAGAAAATTACCAATCGTGTAAATGACACATTACCGTTATGATGAAAGTTTATGGTTTGTTAGAAATCGAGGGGCAAAGATTGGCGAAATCTGTTAAAAATTGTGAAATATTCGGAAAAATTTCTAGAATATTGCAGAGACTAGTACAGATGTTTCATGATGATTGTCTTTTAAAAGAAATTGACAACTGCTAAAATCATCTAATGTATTCATGTTTAAATCATTTGATCACTACCGACCAATGTGTTGCAATGCATTCTTAGCATATTTGAAACTTCACCAGAACAGGTCGCCCCATAACTGTAGTTTTTCAAATTAAAAGTTTTATTTTTTCACTTTAAAACATTAAATTTCATTGGAATTTTATTTTCAAAAGAGTTGTAAGTTAAAAAAAATTAATGAATTTATACCGGTTTCCAGCACATTTTGGAATAGTTTCGGAAGTTTTAAATCAAATCATAAAAATTTAATAAATTGAAAGAAGATACATTTTTGATCTTCTGTGCTTTCAATCTTTTCAATCTTAACTTGCAACATTCTACATTTTACTTTTATTTAGAAGAAATAGAGGATTCTGTTTATTTGGGTTACTGATCTCCCTCTTCGTGGTTTTCTTTGTCAAACGTCATGGTTTAAATGCTTTTTTTTTTCTGCATAATTCTTTGTTTATAATATTTACTGTGCTGTGTTTTTGTGGTACATCATTTTTTGAAGTGACTACAAAAATTCCATTTAATGCCAAAATGAATCACTTGATTGTTTCTTCCAAGAATTCGTGATACTGTAACTATTCCTTATCATATTTAATGAGCTATTGTTTGTTTTTGAAGTCTTGTTTTATTTTTTTTTAAATGTGTAATGGTGCTATTGTTTTCTTGAGATAATATGAATATAAAAACTTATTAGATAGTATAAAGACTTAGAGGGATAATTGCTATCTTCGAACAGAAATTCGGATATTTTTTTCAGATATTTGTAATAACAGCTGTCGTAAACATGACATGAAAAGAAGTTAATACATTTCTAATATGAATGTGAGGATAAGATGAACAGCAATTGAAAAACTAAAAAACGATATTAATGAAGTAAGTGATAGAGGACAAATAATTCTTTAGTTGTTAGCAATTCTTTAGGTTAAGTCTTCAATTTTCTTCAAATTCTTGTTTTCAAGTTCTCATATGTTGTAATAAAATCTAGAGAAGGATGAAAAGGGTTCGCGAAGGATGGGAATGCAAATTAGATGAAGTCAAAATAGAATCAAAGAATCAGATTACGATGGATTGAATCCTTTCAGACTATTATTGATATTGAAGAACATCGCATATAAGGGAGAAACTCCAGCATGAATAGTGCCACACAACGTAGAATTAACTCTTCAGAGAAAAGAGAAGCAGTTATATACTGATAAAAGGATGACAAGGAAGAAAATGACAATTCATTCCAAGCAAATAACTGACACATAAGTGATGCTTCTCAAATATTATCATTAATAGCACCAGAAAAGCTCAAGCAAAGAAATCAGAATCGGAATCATCAGCATTCAGATCAATCGTTTTCAACATTTCATCATTAAATGTTGATTTTTTATTAGCAACATCATCTGCTGAACTTCCTAAGATTTTAACTAGGAAATTAAATCCATCATCTGTAGTGTGTGGTAAATGTGAAGTCTGCGATGTGTTTTCTATCTTCATAGATCTGAAAAGTTACTTCTGAAAAATCAAGAAAATGAAGCGGATTGATGGAAGGAATTAATATGTCTACTCATATTTCTGTAATGCTAAGCGAAAGAGTTAATTCTTAACAGGCAACTAAAATTATCTATCTAAAGTGAATAATTTTGAAATCTTCAAAGTTGTTCATTTTTTAGCTATTACTTGTCATAATATTTTAAAGCGCATAATCAAAAAAAACCTCGATTTTGCAGTCATTATTGCCTGACTCGACGATTTTTGATCGCATCTTTGTGCATCGAGCGTTTGAGAGAGATCAGATGTTACTGAAATTTCCAGGTATGATTTATCACTGGCCATTTACCGTATTTAAAATAATAAGTTTGTTCCTCTTGATTTTAAAAAAGTATTCTAAAATAGAAACCAAAAATTGTGAAATTTGCAATAGCAAACAGTAAAATTTTGAAACAGTTATGGTTTTTACCAGTGATAAATTGGCATGAAACTCTGATAAAGAATTAAAATATTGAATAGACTCTTTAATTTGAAATAAAATTAAATCAATGACAATAATAAACCAGTTACAATTTGTTGCAGTCTGTTGTACTTCTTGAAAATGACTTAATTCTTTCGGATATTCTGTCGAAAGTACGTTTGAATTTTTCATATTATTGATAAGTGACTGTTCAAAGTTTCCTTCATTCTGATTATCACTTTTTCCTTCTTCTACAGTGTTAGTGTTTCTTTGCAAATATTCCATACGCATATGTTCATAATCTTCAGCACTTGGTCGTGGAGTATCCAATGAAACGCATGGAGCTAAAAGAAGTATTGAATTCAAATATAAATAAATCTATTTTTTTCAAAACTGTATTTTCAAAAAAATTTCAACGAACTCTGTAACGGTCAGTTTTGCTTACCAATTTGATTGATTTCCTTGCGCAATTCGTACAAACTTTTAAGCTGACCCATATTTGACCTTTCTGCTCGCTTCCAAGGCATTTGTTGACTTTTGGAGGAACAAAATTCAGGTCCCAGTGAAAGATAATAATCAACGGTTGATAAGTGAAGTCGATGCTCACGCAAGTTTTCCAAATCTTCTGCTATCTCCTTTAATCGTTTTTTGATTTTAATTAAATCGGGTTCCAGCGCTGGCCCACTACAAAAAGGAATTTTAAAATAAAATTTTAAGAACCCTGATCTTCAAGAAAATAATATCGATCATCAAATTTTCGGGAAAATTTCGTGAAAAATTTTTGATCAAACTCTTACTATGATGGTATTGGATCATTTGGCTCAAGATTATTCAGTTCTGGTTCCTTACATGGTGCAACAAATTGTTTGCCAAGATCCCAGTGATATTTGTTCGTTGCAAGGTTGTCTAAGATTGATCGTTGGAATTGATTCGATGTTAACTGCTAGCCATAAGTTAAGCATTATAAATTTTAAAATTTCAAAATCTTATTAAGAAAATTTTTTGAAACATGAAATGGTTCTTTAGAAGCTACCAATTAATTTACAGTAAATTTACTCATTTCTTATAACTTTCGTTTTTGTCTTTTTGTATGTTCTTCTGAAACATGAAAAATAACTGCTAATAACAAACATTTGTTTAAAAAGAAGGAACGAATTCGAATTCAGTTTTTTGATTTCAAAAATTATGAAAGGAAAAAGAGAAAGAAATTTTTATAGTACAAATAATTGAAATGCTCAAATAATACCTGCTTGTATATTTGCATTTCGGGTGGTTTCCAACTAGGATATTTCTGTCGTAGGAAATTTACATATTCATCCTTAATAAAATTACAAAAAATTTTATCTATTAAGATTGATAAGTTCAAATGATAATTTTTTCAATGATCAATACCGCTCAATTCTTTAGAAGTGGATAGATCGATTTTAATGATTGATTACATGCCTTATCAATTGGAAATGGTAAGTTCAAATGATAATTTGTAGAAGATCTAAGAAATACAGGTTTCATTGAAATTAAAAAAAGCTAAGTGAAATATTTTTTATCAGAAATCATTTTTGTCTTAGTTGAAATAAAAAAAAAATAGCTAGCTAAAAATTCAGAAAGTTCCTCATGCAGAAAACAAATGAGAATTAAAAATTTCACGGAAAATGAGGACAGTTTTTCGTTCTATATCAATGATCAACACCGCTCAATTCTTCAATATATCTGCCGACAACAACAGAATAGTATCACTTCAAATTCTCGAAGAAGATTTATTACGCACCTATTCCATCTAAACTTTAGTTAAATTGCTTCACTGACAAATTACCTCGCCCTAATGAAAAATATAATCTAACTTACTCTTGCCTTTTTTGCTGTTTCCAATTTAAAATCCATTTTTATCAGTCGTTTCTCCAATTCATCTATTTCATTTGGGACGGACGTTGTCGAATCAGTCATTATCAAGCGACCACTTCAAATCGAGTTCTTGAAAAGTGACAGCGATGAGGAGGAAGCAATATCACCATGGGAACCAAATTCTATTATATCATTAAATTTAGGTCTTCCACTTATTTTGACAGCCATAAACCTACGACATTCTTCGTTTTTTCTTAGAATGATCAATATGCTAGAAATTCATGTAATTCAGACACAATTACATATTTCATATCATTCATTTTATAAATAACAATAAACCAATAAATAAACATACAGTACAAAGATTGTTGTTCTAAGCATAATGATAAGTAATTTTATAGGAACAATAAAATATTTTGGCATAACTAATGAACTTCTCTTTCCCAACAATAGTTATTGGAAATAAGAATTTGAAACTTAAATTAAATATCAAAAGTACGAAAACTAGCTTAAATTTTAAATCTATTATATTAATATATTTAACCACCAGCACTCGCCATAGTGGAAAGGAAAAATCTATTCCATCATGATTGAATTTTCAAAAGATCTTGGGCCACTATTAAATGGAGGAAAAGAATATGCTTTGCATATAAAAATTAAACAAGACTTGTATTTGAATGTAATCTCTCGAATGAATTTGCAGCTATTCTCTTGTCCTTTAAAAAAGGAAAAAATCAGATTTATTCCAGAAAATACAGTAAAATTAAAGCTAGCTAAATCACTTTGACAATGCATGGAATACAAGATTCTCATTCAAATGAGAGAATTAGGATCGAAACGGGAAGTGAAATATTAATAGAAACACAACTTCAATCAATGGATGATAAACATTTCTATGATCTAAATTTATCACAACACATTTGCAAAGATATTGATACAATGAATTAATGCAATGGTTTTCCATGCATTAATATAATATGCTTAAAAATCATTACAAGCCTGGAAATTTCCAGAGGTTTTTGCTAATTTAGTGACATTTTTTCTATCTATTACAAAAAAAATCTATTGCAGACGTATCGACTAAAATTATATAATCAAAAGTCATTGTATTTTTAATTGATAATCATGCATATAATTATTTCAAATCTTCACCACCTCCATCATCCTCTCCGTTAGCGTCATTGTTACTTCCGCCACTTACTTCAGAACTGGCTTTTAATTCCTTCATCAAACGTAGATACTGAAAAACAAAAAATTTTACCACCGCGAAGTTGCACACCTCTAATGACAAATTTTGAAAGGGATAGCTAACTTAATTTTATATAGTAGATAATAATTAAAAAGCAAAGTTAATATGAAAAACTATGCTATAAACGCTGTTTTGCCTAGGAGCTAAGAGTTTATGACAAAAATAACAAAAATTCTGAAACTAGAAATAAAGATTTTGAAACTAAAGAATCTTTTAATAACTACCTCATTATCCATATTTCTTAAAATTGGATGTTGAAGGACCTGTTGAAAACGATTATTATCACCCGATTCATATGCTGAGATCAACGCACAACAAACTTTTGCATCTTCCGAAATTTCAAATTCTTCACATCTGAACGAACAAAAAATAACTTTATATTTCATAATTTATATTTCGTTTACTGAAATTGAAAAAAGAAACAACAGTATATCAAATGAAGCATGTGTCGAGCAGTAAAGTTTACTTGAATGATTTTTGAACATATTTTGCCGCTGATACTGTGTCCCTACATGCTAACTGGACAAGAACGAGAGCAATAGTAAGCTGTCCCACTCGACCAACTTCCTGAAATATAAAGAATAACCACAGTAATAAAAGTGAACTATCACATTCATCGCAGCAGGGCCTTTCATATGAATACAACGATTGTCACAGAAGTCAAAAAATAAAATTTCGGTTTTCATTACAGTAATGGCTGGGTAGAAAAAAAGCGAAACAAGTAGCAACTGGCTTAAATTTTCATCGATTAAAAATGGAATTCTATTCAGCTGATTTTATAAGACTAGTTTCGCTTCTGTTTCACTTAATTGAAATAACCACTTGGATCTTCAAATCGAAAATCAAAATTCTTCCTAAGAAACCTAAAAAATAAATATAATAAATATAATTCTCATTTTTCTTATGACTTACAGAACCTCATGTGGAAGAAAAAACAGTGGCGAAAAGATAAACAATATCACAACAAAAATGAGATTAAAAAATACTTTAACTTCCATATATTTCTTGATTTCTTCATTAATCATATTAGCTGCTTCTTTGTACCGTTTCAGTTTCAAATATAGTTTAGTCAGTCGATTCATAAATCCACCAGCCATACGCGAACGATCTGTTTCTTGCACCATTGTTAGTGCTTTGTGATAAACCTGAACAAATTTCTAAAATCAAAATTTTTAAATTACCACTTTTCAATAAGTTATCGCTTGGATCCAGTTTAATAGTGCAATTGATATCATTCAAATTAGCAAGAAAAAAGATTAATTCAACTAACTTAAAGCTCAAAAATTAACATTAGAAAAATATTCCATTTTCGAAAGCATCATATGAAGAAAGTTCTCGAATCAAATTCTCTACTTTCAAAGCTAAATTTACATTAGTACCCTCTCAAGCATAATTTCTTTATTCCTTCCCTATAAACCTAGAAAAGTAATTCATCAAAGATAATATCAAAAAACAATTTCGAAAAACAAATAATGAGAAGTAAAAACCTCAATAGCTTTTTCAGGATCCATATCTTCTAAACATTTTGCAGCTTTATCAAGCGCCATAGCTGAAGAATCAGTACTTCCGGATTCAGCATATCCATCTGCAGCTAAATCCATGTACCTCAGTGTACCAGAACTATCGCCCATTTCCTTGCATATCGTCGCTGCACTTTCATTGCATCTAAAAAAAAGTTTAATCTAAA